AAAAATGCCCTACAATACGTGTACTGATAAATATTAAGTAAAAAATTTTATAAGAGAACATCTTTTTTTCACTAATCAATAATTCAATCTTTAAAAATGTTGAAAAGGGCAATAACTCACTTAATTCAGGCATTGTACTTTCAATTTGAAATAATCCCCTTATATTCACAATTCAAAAGTATCTTTTAAGTAGGAAGTATTACGTTCAGCATCAGAATCAAACATTAGAACCAGTTTTCCCCATGGGGATCCAGGATAGAATAGGTCCTCAGTACCCCCTTGCTTGTCGTAAAAGGCGACTAAATGGGGCGGTCCTTCGGATGAGACCTTGTAGACCGAGGCCGCGTGTCACAGCAGGTGTGGCACGATAAAGTAAACTTACGAGTTCCATTTTGGTTGAAGAAGCAGCTGTCAATGATATAAAAAAGCCTGTATTTTAATTTGTCGTGGGGAATTGTTGTGTATAAAGTTGAAAAGTCGTAAGTTTTTATGCTGTAGATTTTTGTAAAGTCTTTTGATTTCAAATTGTCCAAAAGTTCTTTAGATTTTTTAAGTATCCACATCTGATTTACACCATTTCTTGAATATATATTTGTACAGTACTCTTGAAGTTTTTCTTTCACTACTGTCAATATTTTAGTGAGAAGTAACGAAAGAGGCTTGGTTGAAAATTTACTGGAACCTGCAATGTATCTTTGTTTGTAAGGATCCTTATGAACTTTCGGAATCAAATACATATAAGGTAGTTCAATTTCATTTTGGCTCTGCGGAATATTAAAGCCATATATGGCGTATGTACAATGAAAATTATTAGACTAAAATTATAAAAACTTATTATTTGTATGATTACTTTATATAAAGATAGAAATTTTCCCTAAATTACAAAATCTAAGTCAGTTGCGTAATAAAGATATCACAATTTAATTTGGATTATCGGAATTTTCTCCGGCTCGGAAGAAAATACAAAAGATTTAAATAACACATTATAAAGAAGATATAATTGCATTATTAGGTGTTCTCCGTGTTCAGAATTGTATGAAAAGCTTTAATTTAGATGTAGTAACTATATTTCTTTACTTAATTTTGTATTTTTCAAAAATATATTTTTTGATCAGTTACGCCATATATGGCTTTAAAAGTATTCAAAACTGACAGGTGATTTTGAAGAATTTCTTCCTTAGAAAGAGAAGTATATGTTTAAGTAGGATTACCACTTGTAGAATTAAATCCAAGTTTTTCAAGAATGCAATTTATATAATGAGTCTTACAAACGAAGACAATCTTGTTACCTGCTTTGTCGGCAGGAACCAGTACGAACTGATCGTGTAATCTATCAAATTCTTTTTTCACTTCTGTTTTATTGAACACAGAAGGGTAGATGGCTTTCATTTTGCCCCTCAACAAACAAACAGGACAAACAAGGTTAAAATTCACTTTAACACAAAACAATTTATGGTCACAGTTACAAATACTGGTAGAGGGCCCCTCTCTCGCAGAATTCAAACCAGACCTTGCTATTGAGAAGTGGTTGAACAGTACTGCTGATGGTAAATGAAGGTACAACATTGTTTCCAGTAATTGACGAATGTGAAGAACTATTGTATCAGTCAGTTGAGAAAAAAAAAGAATGATCGATTTTTTTTTAATATAATATGCAAGAAGTGGGAAGCAATTTTTTAGGTGGGACAAGTAATTTTATGGTGGTTACCTGTCCGAGGGCAAGTGTAACGATATAGAATATCTTATCTTTAATATCATTTTTCTTTAATTAATTGTTCACACATTATCTACACTTATGCTATAAACCTTATCTGTCTATTAATCGCCCCTCTTATCTAACCCCCTGCTGATCGTAATTACCTGAGTATTGACTCCTGATCTTAAGGATCTTGTAATGTGCTCCTGATCGTCAGGAGCGGATCTTAAGTATATATAGCGCGAGAGAATCTTAGAATAACATAGAAATAAAGGATATATAGACGATAATACTGATATGTAGCGATATACTTACTTATACTTGTTTTACTTGGATTATTAACTTTGCCTATGATTTGGATTTCTATGTGATTGTTTACTTGGATTTTATATACTATTTTTCCTGAAAGTTTTTATTTGTGATGTGTTGTGTAAATAAACTGTAGATTAGACGAACTTGAGTCTCACTTCAAGATATGAGGAGAATTTAACGCTACCAAATAGAAAATTAAAGACTGAGGACAAAATGTAAATACGGCCTCTCAGTCGGCGTTACACACGAACCTTAATTTTCTATCAAGCCCTGGGCGACAATACATTTCAGCGCGATTTTTGGGGACCAATAAAATAAGGTTGTTCTATTCGATGTAGGTACCCGCTCCTCCTTTTGTTCTTGCATTTCCTAAGCTATCTGTGCTTGTATTTCAAGAAGTCAGCTTTGGCGAGTAGTTTATAGAATGAGTTACTTTTAATTTTCACACACGTGTTTATTAACTCGGACATAAAACTATTCGTTTAAACATATGAATCTTGCATTCTTGATTTAATCACAGGGGCTTGTCACGAAATATTTATCTTCTTTTAATAAAGTTACCCCTACTATAAAAATACACAAGGGAGGAATCTAAAAATAGGAAATTCGCTACCACAAATTTTGACCGGACTTTCTATCTTGTTTCTGGGTGACTTTCGTGGCGGACCAAGTAGGAGTGAGTGGAGTATAGATTCAATTTTAATATTCTTCAGTCAAATTCTAATCAACGCGTACCGTTAGTCATATAACTAACCTCTTTTCTCGATATTTGGATCTGGCGACAGTTCTTTCCATATGAATTTCCGGCGTAAATTGAATGCAGGGCTCTGATTGCTTGCTTTCTGTAAATAACTCGTACACAAAATTTAGTGCACCAACACGGAGGGAAAATTAAACTGTCGTGATGGCATTGAACAATGCAGCTGTGGTTTCATTGTACGTATTTTACTATATTTGGTTATATTTATTTATACAAACATGTAAAATATCCTTCACTAAGCATGTCAATCCTTACAGTTTATATTTTGTGTACGAGTTATCTACAGAAAGCAACCAATCAGAGCCCTGCTTTCAATTGACGCATATGGAAAGAACTGTCGCCAGATCCAAATATCGAGAAAAGAGGTTAGTTATATGACTAACGGTACGCGTTGATTAGAATTTGACTGAAGAATATTAAAATTGAATCTATACTCCACTCACTCCTACTTGGTCCGCCACGAAAGTCACCCAGAAACAAGATAGAAAGTCCGGTCAAAATTTGTGGTAGCGAATTTCCTATTTTTAGATTCCTCCCTTGTGTATTTTTATAGTAGGGGTAACTTTATTAAAAGATGATAAATATTTCGTGACAAGCCCCTGTGATTTAATGTGATAGCAGTTAAGCCAAATTGGATTTAGAAATTTTGGTTTGTGCTATAGCGTAATTATAATTTTAACAGATGCCAAAAGATATCGGCTAAAATGCCAGTAATTTTGAAAGGGAACTCTCATCAGGTGCTAGTCCAAAACTCCAAGCAGGTTTGTTTCGGTAATGAATTGGTAAGTGGGGGGATTATTAAATAAGTTCTATTTATCTGTCTGTTTTAAAAAAAATATTAACTCACTAAAAAGGAATCTACCTATTATGATACAAATTAAAGGTCAAAGTTCAAGGTCACCAAATCCACAATTTTGTCTGTTTTAACACTTTGAGCTTTTGCAAGACAATTCATACCACAAATTACTATGGACTACAGAAGACCCCAATTTATATTAACGTCAAAGGTCAAGGTATCTGTGTGTTTTTATTTCAATGTGATATATTACGAAGCTTTTGAAATATCTGTATGGTCCCACCTGACCTTAAAGTGTCTCTTTAGTCCAATCCTAGATCCATTCAAACTCTTCTTTTTCCTTAAATGGGGGGGGGGGGGGCACAAATTCTTTAAAATAGCTTTTTGATCAAAAACCATGGTTCAGAGTAGCTTATGGGAGAGGATGATTAAGAATATTACACTTATGTTTTGTTCTTCGCTCATTAACGTTTTTGTTTACATTCATGTATAATGTAAGTTTTTACTCAATATTTAACTTTATTTTCAGAATAAAAAGGATTTTGTTTTGGAGAAGCCGGAACTGAGAACGATCAATTCTCGGTATGCTGCTTCAGGAAAGACTCTGAAGTTTTTTTTTGCAAGAAATAGTAGTGGGAAAAGTCATAGTTTCAACATTTAAGAGGGAGAGCAGGCTCCTAAATAAAGAGATGGCAAATGCCTGAAACTAATAAAAGCATCAGATACACCGCAATATGGTGTAGAAATGAAGTATGACACCATTGTACGAAGTCTTTTTTCTTCAAATCCATCTAAACCCCATACCCCGGGGCCATGAATTTAACGATTTTTGTAGAGGAATCGATGCCGCTGTTAGGACGGCGCTCTATTAGTTAGTATATAGTAAAAATGTATTTATTCTTTGAATAAAGTGCCCCGCCACAGCATGATACGACCGTCAAATATTATTCAATAATCATGAATTGGTTAAGATGAAAGAAAATCAGGTAGCCTTGATTAACAGATTGACACAAATTTCAATTATCTAATTTCCATTTCTTATCATACATCTCTAAGAGACTTTACAGTGTAGGGATTGATTATAACAAATAATAACATCATATACTTCTAAACTATGTTAGAGCATAACAAATATCCGTCGATCTGAAGCTTAAAATTGTTTACTGCATATTTTATGAAATAATGGAAATGCTATTCAAAAATCAAACATAAATAATTCTTCAGACTATAAAATTTTAAGTGAGGCATGACTGCAAATTGTTGCAAATATATACAGATTGAAATATATTTTTTTTTTCAATGAACATGTATAATTAGTTTTAATCATATTGTACAATACTAATTTAGTTTTAATCATACACTACAACATCAATTTGTTTTTAATTAATTACACCAACTGAAAGATCTTGGACTAGCCATCAAGAACTCTTAAGCCCGGTTTACACGCTCTGCTTTTGCAGCTGCTTTTAGGTCTGCATTTTACTCTGCAAAGCAGACATAGAGTTTACACATTCTGCTTACCATGCCTGCTTTCACTATATTAGCATATCATTTCCCGCCATTAGTCACATAAACACGTGTAAACACAATGGAAGATTTTGATATTTTGCCTCCTCTTTTAATAATCATTATGGCTGCTGCATATCGGCAGCATTTAAGAAATAGAAGGAAAAGAAGGACATGCTGGACTAGACCATGGATTCTGCGCAGACAAGAGCATGGGGCACACCATGCACTTATGCGAGAATTATCTCAAGAAGATCCTGAGAGTTACAGAAATTTTGTGAGAATGACACAGGAGGATTTTACAGAGCTACTGGATGAGGTGTCACCTTTAATTGTTAAAAAGGACACCATTATGAGAAAATCAATTTCTCCTGCAGAACGACTTTCTTTAACTCTAAGATATCTTGCAACAGGTAAGAATAATGAATAACAAGTAGCAAAAACAATTTTTATTTCACGTATATTTTAAAATGTTGGATATTAAAATGCAATTTTGTAATTTTCAGGGGAAAGTTACAAGTCCATATCATACTTGTATCGTATTCCAGTGCCAACATTGTCTAGTATAATCCCTGAGACGTGTGCTGCTATATACAATAGCCTAAAAGATGATTATATGAAGGTATGGTTAAAATTTAATATGAATGTATGATATTCATAGTTCAAGATACTGTTGACCCATTGGTAGGGGGCTTACTCCTTGATTGGACAAAGGCTGAGAGTTCGTGCCTATTCCATTGTGTTGACCCACTGGTTGGGGGCTGATTACTTGATGGGTCAAAGACTGAGAGTTTGGGCCCATTTCATTGTGTTGACTCATTGGGTGGGGGCTCATTCCTTGATTGGTCATAGGCTGGGGGCTTGCTACCACTCCATGTTGCTGGCTCATTGGTAGAGGACTCATTCCATATTGTGGAATATTTGAGGATGGACTTGAATATCCCATAGTCCCTTGACCCTGCAAATGCCCATACTCTGCTTCAAAAAGAATGGTCTGAAATTTCAGTTTCACAAATGACTTCACCCGCCCATCTAATTTGCGCAGGGATTGGGCTATATAATTCCCATAAAGGGTATCCTCATCGGGAGTGGGTGAAGGGGTGGCTGATCTTAAGCCGGTCCTTTTCCTGATGTCCTGTAGACATGACATGGCCTGAGACATTATAGCTTCTGGTCCATTTAGCCTGGCCCTTTTTTTCAGGACCTGGTCTCTCTTCTTGTGACGTCTCCGACATATTGTCAGTACTATCATCTTGCTCATCATCATCCTCCCCTGCATTATTTGTGTCCTATTAAAATATATATATATATATATATATATATATATATATATATATATATATATATATATATATATATATATATATATTATTTAAGGTTCCAAATTCATGGTAAGATTGGCAGAAAATAGCTAAAGAGTTTGAAGACAAGTGCAATTTTCCTAATTGCATTGGGGCCATGGATGGGAAACACATAGTAATTCAGTGTCCTCTAAAAAGTGGTTCATATTATAACAATTATAAACAATTTTACAGCATAGTTTTATTGGCTTTGGTTGATGCTGATTACAAATTCATATATGTAGATTGTGGTTGCAATGGAAGAGTTAGTGATGGTGGTGTGTTTGCAAATTCAAGCCTATACCAAGCTTTGGAATCAAATGATCTTAATATTCCACCTAAAAAACCTTTACCACTGAGACTTACACCTGTTCCATATGTCATTGTTGGGGATGAAGCATTTCCCTTAAAATCTTATATTATGAAACCGTACTCCTTTAAAAATCTGGACCAAAACAAGAGAATTTTCAACTACAGGCTTTCAAGAGCAAGGCGAATAGTTGAAAATGTTTTTGGAATTTTAACAAGTAGATTTGGGGTATTTAAAAAGGCTATTCCTCTAGAACCAGAAAAAGTTGAGGGAATTGTTTTGGCATGCTGTGCACTGCATAACTTTCTAAGAACAAGGAAATCAGCGGCAGAATATATAGGCCCAGGGATGATTGATTAGGAGGACACTGAGAATGGGACAATGAATCATGGGATTTGGAGACAAGAAATGGGCACAAATCTACCCGGTCTTATTCGACAATGTGGGAATCGATCAAGTAATGATGTACGGGAAATAAGAGAAGAATTCTGTGATTATTTTAATACAAATGGTCAGGTTTCTTGGCAATGGGAATTGCTGTAACTTACAAGATTGGACTGTGATCCTCTTGGGACAATTTGTGTTTTCAAAAAGGCATCCAGGGACTTGACATGGACCCATGAACTGGTGTAGAGTCCATCTGTACCAGAGCCACTCTTCCTGGACTTGTTTATTTTGGACAATTCCTTAGAATAGTATCCTCTGAGATATGATATTTTGGCTTGTATTTGATTGACTGTAAATAAAAAATAAATACATTTACAAGTTCAAGTTGCTAAATATTTATTGTATACTCACCAATTAACAAAAAGTATGATTCATAAAGTTGAATAACATGTGACAGTTTGCTACAAAAAACAAAAAACACTTACCATTACATTCCAGACCTTCAGATTCCTCTCTCTGTTTTTCTATATATTGCTCTATGCTCTTTGTCTGCAGTCCTTTTATGAATAAGATGGAGATGAAACATTCCATAGGTCTGGACCCCCTTGGCACGCAAAAGATCGTTTCTTTGGAGTTCGAAAAAGAGTAGGTTCATTGAGGGCCGCCAGAGAAACCAAAAACTTAACTTATCCATTAACCGTATAGTCCGCCGAAATATGGCTGAAAAATTTGCCGACTCGGCGTTAAACAATATAAAATCAATCAATCAATCTTTCTCTGCGACGGAAGTTGTAACTCTATATTTTTAACCTAAATGGTTGGGTTATTTTTCGGTTGGTCTCGGATTACGTCCTTGAACACTTATAGGTGAAAAAGTAGTTCCAAATGTTCTTGAAATCGATTAACTACATATTGGCGCATTTGTATATCTAAAAGAAATACCTAATCTCAGACAATTAGCGGGAAATGTTTTCCAAAGAAAAATTCTAACAAATCTTAAAAGCATAAATAAGCGATATACAATAAAATGGTGAATATTTTTTGGCTCTTTGACATGTGTTCTTTACAAATTGACTTTTTGAAAAATTGGAACAAACCCGTATTGTTTTAATTCGAGGCAAATAAATAGGTCCTATATTTTATGTCGTGTAGAGTTACGTGCCCTTTGTTGTTGTTTGGCAGTGACAGTGTAACACGTGTTGCAGAGATGAAAGGAGGTGTACAGAAGTGCAGTGCAAATTTAAAGTAAGTTTAAAGACTTTTTGGTATTTTATTTGCATGATGCTCAGGTGACCTATAAGGCCCGTGGGCCTCTTATTTTTCTAAATTACTTGTATCTTTGGGATGAGAGTTTTCAAGATAACGTTCCTCTCACATTTGACAAATATGTGCCGTATTGTTTGTCTTTTCCATTACCCCATAAAAGCTTCGAAAAAACGAAGATGCCAGTGCTGTCATAAAGCTTTGACTTAAGTACGTTGTTTTTTTTTTCTCTTCTAAAATAACACTTTAATAAGAATTGTGCTTAGAATTTTTATGAATTCAAACTTAAACAGTCTTCTTGCCTTATAATTTTTTCAATGCTTGATTTCAACATTTAAGAAAAATCTATAGAATCTTTATGAATTCAAACTTAAACAGTCTTCTTGCCTTATAATTTTTTCAATGCTTGATTTCAACATTTAAGAAAAATCTTAGTCATTATGAATCCCGCCCCAGGCATTTAAATGTTTTGAGTTTGCCGTCAATTTTGTTTGTAGTTTGAACCTTTAGAGCGATGCTTTTTCCAAGGTACAATTGTGGTTGTTAATGTTATGTTTCTTTGTTTAATGTCTTAGCAGACCTTATTGATGGAGCAGCTATTCGACCCTTTCCTTAAGTTAATTTTGGATCTTCTGACTCTAATTGTGTAATATCTCCGCTGACTGAGAAAGATATATGGAACTTGTTGGTGTGAATACCAGTTGGCATTAACATTTGACCTGAATTTTTTGGCTCTGTGTCATGATATGTCAGGTTGTACTTGCGTGCCAATCTAGTAAATAGGCTTTCTTACAGGGTATTGCTTAATTTCTGATTAGAAAAATGCATCCTTGGCAAAATCACAACTTTCGAATTTCCCATAGTGGTCTTTAGGTTTTAGTGTCTTGGAATTCTCTTTTTCGAGATTAGAAATCGCATTTTGTTCTGCAGCTTCTTTTGTAATGTGTATCTTATTCATTCTTACCCTGTCATACATGTTGTATGAAAGACCAGAAGCCAGAAAATGAGGTTCTCAATTGTTTTGTTAGATGTTGACTGTTTTTTTTCTGCACTTTTTCTCATTTGAGCAGGTGAGACAATTCCTTTTGGATCTGTTACCACCTTAGTTGGAGTTGAATGAAATGCCAATTTTGTTTTCAATAATTGACTGAACGAAATCTCAACCACATTTTTTATGACTTTAATGCCTTTGCTCTGTGAATTTTGACTCTGATTTTTGAAATCATCCTAATATCATTGTTGTAGCTAAATTCTCACATGTCTTAGTTATCTCTCTCTGCTGCGTACTTGCTGAGGAATGGAATGCAGAAAAGTCTGAATGAACACAGGGGTGACAGTTACTCAGCTCATGAAACTTTCTCATTTCCAGCAAGAGTTTTCCATGTTGCAAAAAAAAAAACGTACGTACATGGCGAAGGTTTTACGTTTTTTGTTTTTATTGTGTGTTTGTTATTGTGTTATTGTGTTTTCTGAAGAATATCTTGTTTGTGACCAAGACCTGTACTTTATGTTAATTTGATATATGTTTGCTGTTGCATAGCCATGCACTTCTTGACGTAGATGGTATACAAAGTTCCAAGGAGAATACGGAAATAATCACTGAACACTTTTTCGTTATCAGTTATGATCAACAGCACGACCAGTATATTTTCCTCGCTGTGCGGAGGAGTATATCTGAATATTTGTCAATCATCTCATATCCCACGGAGACTATGCATGAGTTTACTGACGGGTGTGCAGCCCAGTATAAAAGTAGACATTGCTTTGGTGACATCAGTAACTCCTGTCAGGATTTTGGGTTCAAGCATTTTACCCGAAATTTCTTTGAGACAGCTCATGCTAAAGGTAAAAAAGTTTACTTCAACTCGATTTCTCACGAATATTTTTTTATAGTTACATGTACATGTACACAAAACAAATATGTCACAAAAAATCTGCTCAGTTACACTTAAGTTGAATGTTGAGTAAAAGAAGCTAAAATTTTGTGAATACAATTAGGACAAGTGACTAGTCTGCTCTAGGTCTATAAATACCTTTCTTACCTCTTAATCGTTGCAGTTATGTTTTTGTAAGAAATTCACATAGCTTCTGTGACATCATGTTTATATTCGCGTAGGTCGTTTAATTGAGTTCAGATTAAAAACAAAGGCGCAATTTAAATATTTATATGCCCGGTACATACAGTTATAAACTTAATTGTATTTTTAAATTTATACATTACAGGGCCTCACGATTTTGCTATTTCTAATTTGACCATGACAAAGTCCGTGTGCCGACGTAGTATCTTTCGTTTCATGGATTGCATTCCAAGAGATGACAACTTGCGATTTAAGTCAGTACCTAATATCAGGTCTGTTCATCAAGTTATTGTTCGAGACTCCGACGACGAAATTACAACCCGCGAACTGTCCTGTTTCTGTGATAAATGCGATTCGCATTCCTATGATGAATGCCTAAATATTCCAGCAGCTGGACATTTTCTAAATATTAAAATGATACAGGAAACTGACACCACAACCGACGTCGATCAGGATGACGACCAGGGATCCATGGCAAAACTTGTTTCTAAGGGCCAGGTTATTGCTGTGTACGCAGATGATCCACATCAAGACTATTTCTTGATTAAAGTCCAAGAACCTGCCCATACACTGGACAGCGACAAAACCGATTCGTGGGGCTCGACATTACCAGCTGGTACTGATGTCATAACTGGTCTGTACTATGACAATACAAAACAGAATCCTCTAAGATATAAACTTTTAAGACGAAGAAAGGCAATTGTACCAGCAAGTGCAGCAGTTTACATCTGCTCCGAAGTAGATGCAAGGGTCACCATTGATTTAGACGAAGATGTTCATTTGAATATACTGCATGCGATAAACGGAATTCTTATGTCCTAGATACATGTAGGCTGACATGTTTTTGAATCGTATGAATGCTGTACATACACATAACGACATGGGAAATAAATTATCAAATAAATACCGTATGTATTTTAAAGTATGAATTGATAATTGTCTTATGTACTTCGTTTTTGAAATACTGTTTAATATATCAAAGAACATTTCCAGTACGTAATATACTCAAATATTTATTTGCTATAATGCATGGTACAAAATGCATAGATTGTTTCAGGAAATTTTGTTGATCATATATTATACAATTATGGACTCTTTTGGTGTTGAATATGGTTTGTTATTCACCAGAAAAATATTCATATTGACCGAGGCGAAGCCGAGGTCAATATGGATATTTTTCTGGTGAATAACAAACCATATTTAACACCAAAAGAGTCCATAATTGTTTTATTATATAGTCGGGATTTGTATAGATAAGACATTGAAGGCTGTATGACGACACCATTTCATTTGCGATCTTCCATTGTTGAAAATAAAAAAAATCTCCAGATTACTGTTTGTAACCTCCGTGTTTTCCTTTCCGAGTTTGGCTATGTGTAAGACGTCCAGATGTTAAAAAATAATTATGAAAAAGGTTTGAATAATCGTTTTCCTGTTCAGATACGTAGCTCGCTGCGGCCGTTGCAACCATTGTTTACAACGTTGTTTGATATTTTGATTGTGACGTCACAATGCCGTTGCACGCGAATTGACCCTCCGGTGAATACGGCCTAAAATCCGGTGAATATATAGTGTTATGAACTGTTTGCATTTGTATAGATTATATAGGGACTATAAATAGACTATATAATAATTTAAAATATTGCCCAAGATTTATATATACTTCTGGCAAATACATGTATTACAATTTATAATTTTTTTTTATTGGCTCTTACATTTTACAGATAAAGATTAAATAAATATATGTAACATTACAGTGAAAATATATCAATATTTCTAATAGCTATAGACTTTAAATTATCTTAAATAATAATTGAAAATTAATTTTAATTCATAATTAATCAGAGGTATATGTATCAACATGAAAAATACCGTCTTGCATTATTAAAGTATTTTTTTGAATGTAACGTTGTTTTTGTACATTATTTTACACAATTTTTGACGTTGTAAGCGTAACGTTAAGTAACACCAGTATTGTGCGCGACGTCCACATTATACTTGGTTCAGAATCACATAGGGTAAAAACAGACTATAGGAACTCTTTTATTCGAGGAGGTAAACAATTTCGTCACGGGAGCCATATTTTGAATCTCAACAGAAATTAGTTTATACCTTGATACATCATCCATGCAAGTTTGATTTAGCTATGACTTATAGTTACTTGGGATTCAAAAAGTATGTCTGATCCAGCAGTGGTGATTTTCATTAATTTTCTTTCTTTTTTAAATAATATTCGCAGGTATGTTAAGGTTAAAACAAAATATTCTACTTGTCTATATATCCTTGAGAGGGACGTTAAACAGTATACAATCAATCTATCTACTTGTCTATATGATTTGACGTCATTGTAAGCTGTTAACGTGAAGTTAAGAGATATGATTCTTTTCAATCGATATCCAAGATTAATTAGATGTTGTATATCCAAAGGCATAAACGGAATTAGTCGTTTCTTGTCCCTGTAGTTATCACAAGGGTTTAATACCAAACCCATGACGTCAAAACTGTTGATCATGCTGTAGCAGAGTGAAAGTGAGAATTCATGTAAACAAACACAAGAAATCGAAGTTTTAAAGCAATTAGACTGAATGTCATGTATGATTCATGTGGGGATAAAGCTTATAAATAAGATGTGCTTTACCGTATGTACACGGCTATAAGTCGGTTTTTTGGGAGTTAATCTCTGGTCTAAAACTCATTGTCCGACTTATAGGCGAGCTGTTAAAAGTATGGTTTTATGCATACTTATATCAAAAGTTTTATCCTTGACTTTTTTGATTTGTGTTACATAATTATAAAAAGGGTTAATTCGCCGAATTCTGATCCATGTGCTGCCTTAACCAACCCGCGTTATTTTTGAGTTATTGAAAAATAGTTATAGAACTACATAGCTGCAGATCTGTAGCTCTTTGCTTTATCTGTCCGAATTTTTTCAAGCAGAGAGCTACAGATCTGCAGCTAAGCACTACACAGAATGATACTCATATCTCATATTAATCAGATATTAGAATTGATCTATGAAATATTTTGCCAATATTTTTAGCAGGTTGTATTTCAATGAGGCGAGCAACAATACCAAAAAATAAAACAACTTTATTTTGGCCTGGATAAAATTGTATATTATTTTATGAAATTTTGTTCTGAATAATCAATCTGATTTTTGTGAAAACAAGTTTGAAATACACTGCTATAATAATATACTTTGTCATAAATGAAAATAAATTTTTGAAATTAAAACACTTTGTGAAACGTTTGTATACCTAGTTTATCACTAAATAGTTATGCATGTAATCATACAAGCCAGTATCATACCAGTCTTAAGTTCATTGCATTAATTTGTAGCAGTGCAATTGAAATTCATAATAATTTAACAATAATTATTATTTGCTATATGATATTGATAGGTTCGCGAGGACTTTATTCTTTCAGAACCTCAACAGCAACCACCCTAGAAAAAGTGTACTTCTGAGATTTCAGCTGACGATGATCGTGGTGAAATATTTTCTCTTGAAAACTTCCAAATTTTCTGCCATTAATATGCCTTTTCAAAAACGTCTTAAAGATTAAAAATATTGCATTTTACGTTTAACAATATTTTAAGAAGACCTAAAATAATATATACATGTTCTATTTCTGTAAGATAGATCACTTACAGACTCAAGAGCCTCCTCCGCTGAACCAATGAGACAGAAGAAAACCACTGTGACGTCTTCTACCATTACGAAGATCTCAAAAGAAGCAAGTGGAATCAAGTAGAGTACAGCAGCCGTCAAGCGAACTGCACGAGTCTCTGTCCCATGCTTCTCGAAGGACAGCACCTAGCCCGAGAATTCATACATGGAGGCAGAGACAGCCTACCTTAATTACAGAGGAGAAAAAGTCCACCAACATCCAGTAAAAGATGAATACCGTATGTCAAAAATTTAAGATAAAATATTTTGTTAAGGTAATACGCAACGTAGTTTGAACTTTATTGTGTTCTTCCCTGGAGTTGAGTTCCACTAAATGAAGAACCTGTACGCAATATTTTTAATGTTTACATACAGATTTTTACACCTCTTCTAAAACAAATTTTAATGAAAAAAAATTCTGGAATTTATGCTTTGTAATTTTTGATCATTTTTCTTTAAATGAAGGAAAAAAGTGAGTTAGCTCACATACCCCACGCTCCCCAAAATCTTGACGTTGTAACACATAATGAAAGGCACAGTGCACTTTAAATACATAATATAGATCATATAAGGGCATCCCTAACAAAAAAATACTATAGTTAACTATAGTGTACTATAGTTAACTATAGTGATAACGTTGACACTTTGAAAACTTTGATTTACTATAGTGATAACTTTGACACTTTGAAAAACTTTGGCGAAAACTTTGACACTTTGAAAAACTTTGGCGAAAACTTTGACACTTTGAAAAACTTTGGCGAAAACTTTGATACTTTGAAAAACTTTGGCGAAAACTTTGACACTTTGAAAAACTTTGACGAAAACTTTGATACTTTGAAAAACTTTGACAAAAACTTTGATACTTTGAAAAACTTTGACGAAAACTTTGATACTTTGAAAAACTTTGACAAAAACTTTGATACTTTGAAAAACTTTGACGAAAACTTTGACACTTTGAAAAACTTTGGCGAAAAATTTGACACTTTGAAAAAAAAACTTTGATGAAAACTTTGATACTTTGAAGAACTTTGTCGAAAACTTTGATACTTCGAAAAACTTTTTCGAAATTTTGGATACTTCGAAAAAACTTTATCAAAATTTTGGATACTTCGAAAAACTTTATCGAAATGTTGGATACTTCGAAAAATTTTATCGAAAACTTAGATGCTTTAAAACTTTTAAAAAGTTTATTGAAAACTTTGACACTTTAAAAAACGTTGGCAAATTTTTTTTTTCTTCAAGAAACTTTATCGAAAACTTTGACACTTTGGAAAACATCGAAGTCTTTGATACTTTGTAAAACTTAATCGAAAACTTGGATACTTTGACACTTATCAAAAAATTTAACACTTTGAAAAAACTTTGTCGAAAACTTGGATACTTTAACACTTCGAAAAACTTTATCGAAAACTTGAAAAACTTTATCGAAAACTTGAAAAACTTTATCGAAAACTTTTAAAATTTAAAAAACTTTATCGAAAACTTGGATACTTTACTACATAGAAAAACTTAATCGCCAATTTTGACAATTTAAAAACTTTATCAAAAACTTTTTAAATTTAAAAAGCTTTATCGAAACGTTTGGTACTTTGAAAAACTTTATCGAAAATTCTGATACTTTGTAGAACTTTTGCAAAAACTTTGACACTTTGAAAAACTTTGGCGAAAACTTTGACACTTTGAAGGATATGGAAAAAACGAACAGTATTCAATCTCAACGTCCATTAAACAAATATACAAAATAAGAGCAGAGCAAACACGGACCCCCGAAACATCAGAGGTGGGATCAGGTGCCATGGAGGAAGGAGCATCCCCTGCCGACCGGTCACACCCGCCGTGTGCTCGTTGTCATAATCAGGAAAAAATCCGTGGTCAATTCAGTGTATAAATAATGGACTAACAATTGGTATGAAAAACGTCAGTCATGAAAACTTTGACACTTTGAAAAACTTTGGCGAAAGTTTTGACACTATCAATGAAAAACTTTGGTGAAAACTTTGACACTTTGAAAAACTTTGGCGAAAACTTTGACACTTTGAAAAACTTTGGCGAAAACTTTGATACTTTGAAAAACTTTGGCGAAAACTTTGACGAAAACTTTGACACTTTGAAAAACTTTGGCGAAAACTTTGACACTTTGAAAAACTTTGACGAAAACTTTGATACTTTGAAAAACTTTGGCGAAAACTTTGACACTTTGAAAAACTTTGACGAAAACTTTGACACTTTGATTTACTATAGTTAACTATAGTAAA